ACATACAAAGTAAGCAAATCCCCTTAAATTGTCAAGTTCCAACTTTTAACTAAGTTTCCAAAGAAAATATGAGTTTCGCCCCAGCAGGGACCCTAACGGGGATCCCGAAAGCTGCGGTCTAAAGCTTTCTGCTTTTAACGACCCTAAAAGAGCAATCTTTTAGACAACTGCCAAATACAAATAATCGGTTTATTAAACGTGCTGCAAGGCTCTGTGAGAAGTCTTATAATTATTATCTTAGAGGCAACATATTATTTTAAATTTATTTAGAAACATAACAACAGCTACCCTGATAGAGAAAAAAGGGCAAATGAGTTGAAATTTTTGGTCATGGTTGCCTACTATAATGGTGCATTTTTATCAGTCCCTTCCAGCTGTGTATCACAAAGGCCCGATAGTCTATTCCGTTAGCTGTAAAAGTATGAAAGTTCCAGAAAAGGGTCTCATGGAAGCACGCTTCTGGTAAGGGGATTTTGAAAGCTGATTTTACTTGTCTCGTCAGTTTGCGATCTTAAAATGGTCCCTACATAACCAAAGGTTCAAGCCAAGTATACGTTCCTAAGTGATTAAGGGCAGATGCATTATGCAGGCAAGGCTTTAGGATTGTTAACGTATCGACTTGGTGACGTGGGCTCTGGTCTACTAACGTCTAGACCACATACCCCCGGATTTTGGTTCGGAGCTGGTTCTAATATTATAACAAGAGCTTGCAGGGATGACTAGCAATTGGAAGCGTACCGTGTTTCCAGCTTCGCAAAACATAAGTACACTTGTTTTCTAGTAGTTGCAGATGGCTGTGTCGGTGATCGCTTAATGCGTAACGTATTTCAATACTAATCTTAGGGACAAGTTGTGGTCTAAGTTCAAACACGGGCACAGACGCAGTTTGTTTCGTACTGAGAGCCAGACGTCTGATAGAATGTCGAACGGAGGTACCGGACTCAAACTCGAATCGTTGAACTGCGTACACCTAGTTAAGCTTTACGAAAAAGAACTATGTACTTGGCTTGCGCCTCACGAAGCACGAGTAACAAGTACAACGGATCACCACAGTTGCACCCATGTATGGAAAATGTCTCGAAGGTGTCTTTGGACATCGGAAGTAGTTAATTTAGCCCTAGTAGTAGTAGTAGCCGACGAAGCGCAGTTTGAAAAAGCGGACCACACATTAGTCGTACACCAATACATGCATCCAGACCTCCTGTTACCTTGCCAGAAGCTGTCATGTTGTCGCAGACCTCCGATTTCTGTACCAGGTCAAGTTAAAAACAGTTCAACAAGAGCGTCAAATTTTCGTTTCTAATTGAGCCAAACATAATTTTTCAACACACTATTAGTCAGAGATTCAAGAGGGTCAAATCTCTCAAGTCATAAGGGCCAATAAATTTCCTTAGCATCCCGTTTCAGTAGGAGGGGGACAAAGCTAAGTAGGCCACCATAAGACAATCCCTAGACCATCCCTTATCTTAGATCCCACACCTTAAACAAACCACGGTTGGCTAACGGAATTTGCCGCTTTTGATTTGACGTAAGCCTCACAGGTCTGTAAACGACTTTAATATTAGCAGTGCCGCTGCAGTCGCCGTCGTAAAAACGTGGTTTATTCCTTCAAGACAGACCCATTCAGGTTATAATAGAGTGTCTTATAAAGTAAGCCCGCAGAGCCAAAGCAACGAGGCGTCGGTTATACCACAACTTCCGAATTACCAATGGATGGAAATCGAATCTCAAGAAAAAGTGTGATAAAATAGGTTGTCTGAAAAGCAATCGGGCGTTTTGGACATTTTCAGTATGTCCAAAGCGACTCCCTGTTAGCGCACTATGCCTGTACAAAAAGACGCTTTAACGTTTACCTAAACTTCTGGGGAATAGAAGGGCATTTGCATGTGTTCGTTGGAGATAGTATTTGGACCGCAACTTTCGCAGTTATGCTAGAAACAAGTGTCGCTGGCTTGTTCCATTGTAGTTGTAATACTTTTCTATAAGTAGAAAGATGTCATCAACATGGCTCCGTTTGCTAAGAAAAGCAAGATGATCCATAGCCTTTTATACACACACACACAAAAGAGAGCAATCTTTGGTTGGAGAGCAACAAGGTTGAAAACTGTAACTTAATAGTAATTTGGGACGGTTCAGGAATGCCAGATCCTCTAGAAGCAGATTTCTCCGTATCGAGTTATAAGCTGCAGAGAAACTGAGACAGACTATTGGTGGCGGTAGCATGGCGTTACAGGTCAGCCAGACAACCACATTAACTGACAATGACGGTTCGAAATTTCCCCACCGCGCCTATTCAACCTGAAAATATCTGAGAGAGTTAGTATTTCAAGAAAATGACTCTTATCTATTTGGCAAGTAAGTCTGCAAAAGTTCAGTTGGGTTCAAACTAACCAGATTACGCACGTAGAATGAAAAGTACCATTAGCCTTTGGTACACGCATAACCTAGATCTAATGCATGCTAGATGTAAGGACAGCGAGTAACTCAAATTGACTTTGATTAACGCCACTGCAGTGTCAGGACAGCCTTGCAACCAAGAGTTTATCGCAACTATTCCGCTCCTATGCACCAGGAGCACTGAAAAGGCAAAGGCTCAGCAATCGCACTATACCTTAGAAGAGTTAAGTCTAGATATTTTTTAATGACTACCTTACAACGTGCTGCTGACAAAGAAGAAATTAATTTTCCTTAAAGGACATTTTCTATCCCATATTGAAAACTGCGATTTACTTTTAGCTCTTACAAGAGACGTTTCAAAAAATCCTTTTTCACCAGTTTGTAAATTTTGCGAAAGAGCCCTTAAGAAAATTTTGCGTGCCCAAGGAACACGAAATTCAAGTTTGACTATGGTTTGCCTTTGTATAGGCATTATTTTCCGAAGATATTTAACGTTTACCTTTGGAGATTTTATGTACAGCTACAACTTTTTCTTTACAGAAACGTCTAGTAGAGCTACAACGTCCTAAAACCTTCTTCACCGTTATTGTCTATCTAAGCTTTCATCGCAGACCTTATCTGTGATCAAAGAAACACAGAGGTCGGGAGGTGTCGCTTCACGGAGGCAGCCGGGCATAAACATAGATGATAAGAAAGAGACTTGTGCGCGCTGCTATTAGAGTTTCTGAGACGATGACAGGCTAGTAAGAATCACAAGGGCTGGCTTATTAGCTAGAATGTTGTTAGTAAGAAGAACAAGTAAGAACTTTGCAAACGTTATTTTTCTCTCGAATGTAGCTCTCCCTGTTTCTCTACCGCTTCAAAATGAGTGGTTCTGGCCCAAAGGAGTAAAAAGTCTCTAGACTTATCGTCACAATCTTCTTAATCGAGAGCACATTTCAATTCGTATGCCTTGGAGTGAAATTTTTCCAGATACTACATAGTATCGAAATCGACAGCGAAGAAGACAGTTATTCCGTGAAACCTGCATGAGGTAAGACTCATGTATCGACTAAGCATAAAAACCGAAAATATGCTTGTAACTTTTTTTTTCTAATAATCACAAAATAGGGATCTTTACCTCTGGAGTGCAGGGCTTACGAAAGCTCAAAAATCACCTCACGCACTTAAAATAGATTTCTACGTATAACCACTGAACTTTACCATGCCAGTCATTCCAGTCCTATCCTATCGTCCAGTGGACGACATCATATGAAGTTAATGAAAGGTACTAAATTAAAGCGCACCATGGGTCCAGGCTTGTTGAAGGCAGATTTTTACAGAATCGCATTTGTCGCCAGGTTGTCAATGTTGAGAAACAGACGTGGTCAATCCCTATAGTTCCACTGTTAATAATACTCATTAATTTGACTTGGCCAATTAGTGCAAAATTTCTTTTGATCTTCTTTTCTTGTACCGCTGCTCTATCAATCTTGCTTTTGACTTTTCGGAGGAACCTTTTTCAAGCAGCAAAGGCTAAAAAATTTTTGATTTTATCTTTTCAAATTTTGCTAGAAATAAATACATACAAAAAACAAAAAACAACCGATAATAAGAATGAATAGTACGGGAAGGAGTAGGTAATGGGATTTGCTTAAAGTATCGATACCTATATTAAAAACGAAGCCTTTTCCCCATTCCGAGACATAGAGGCAGCCTAATATGGAAAGCTTGTTGCTGTTCTGTATCGAAACAATTTCGTCGATTGGTTCGATCGCCTTCATTACGACTCAGGGCATCCAATCAATCTACCTGATCGCAGTTTTTCTAAACCTAGATTTTGTATCACGTTAGCTCAAGGCGACATTTCCCTTACATGAAGTATTTCGATCGGGCACTGCTATTAGTAGACCTCGTACTCGGAGTGGTCAAGCAATATGCCAACAAAAATTCAGTTTAAAAGTCATCCACGCAATAGAGTCCCCCCCCGGCATTTAATAATCGGCGGAGTGTAGTCCTAAGATATGCTTTCACTTTCAAATTACTGCGTGTTACTATAACTTCTAAAATCCTGTCACGAAAATCTACGTTACGTACTGCGCACAAAGTATGTACTACACAGTTTGCATGTAATTTAACAGCTGGCAAGAACTTCGTTTAAACATATTTCTCAAATGGCAAATCTCCAATCTGACTTTCGGCAACCAACAGCCCACAATAAAATTCCTCTGAATCGATATTAGGCCAAATTTCAACCTCAATATAGCCGTATTGGTATATGACGATACGCTTTACCTTCGGGTATCCGCGAAGCTCGCAGTTGCACAGTAATTTGTGCAGTCTTACCACACATTTTCCATCCTTAGTGTACCGGATAAATATCAGACAAAACTATTACTCACAAACCGAACCGTCAAATCGAACGCTTCCTCAGAACTTAGTGACCCAGAGATCGCTGCGTCTGTCACATTGTTTTATCTATCTACCTTCCGCGATGCTACTTTTTTAACTGATTTTTTTTCTCTAGGAACCCTCAATGTTTGCAATTTCAATTAATAATAAAGGACAAAAACAAGACAAAACTATTAGAGTAACATTCTCTAAAAAGCTAATACACGCAATACTTTTCCGTGGTCCATAAAACCGGCCTCGTTTATTGACGATGGTTTATGCAATTCGTTAGGCCGGTTCGACGATTCGACACAAGGGTGTCGGTTGTCCCGTTGTTGCCTCCACCCATCGTGCGTTCCTGCCTAATCTTCTGCTATTGGTCGTCTACTTAAGACCTCGGTCTTTCTTTCTTTTCTTTGTACAGGGCCAGCAGGGAGACATTCGCCACTTTTACAACCTTGAAACGTACACCGGGGATATCTCCGACAGCATGACCTTTACGACCGAAACCGGCAACCAAAACTTCGTCGTTCTCTTCAATGTAGTTGAGGCATCCGTCATTGGGTACGAATGCTGTGATTTTCTTACCGTTCTTGATCAATTGCACCCTCACACACTTACGGATAGCAGAATTCGGCTGCTTAGCTTCGACACCAACCTAGATACAACGAAAAAATACCACACGCACATCATAACATTAACATTAGGTGCATATAGCAAGCAGCTCGAGTGGGTCGAGTACGTTATTTACCATATGCATAACTCGGATTATTGAACGTAGTGTTTATTGCTGCCGATACAAGTTTTCTGTAGAATAGTGCTTAGTAATTCGAAGTTGCTCTTATGACCTTACAGTTGTCTACGGATGGGACGCCCTGTGCTGGACATATGGTTAGACAAAAACTTAATAAGCCACACCACTCATTGAGTGTAATTTTGAACTTCACTTGACGCAGCTTGTTAGTCGAATCACTGACACATTTTTAGCGAAAAGATATATTACTGAGATAAATATCAGCCTAACTTTTTTTCGGCGCACACACATATACATGTATACCTCACACGAAACAGTCACTTCAAACTCAACAGAACAAGAATAAGAAGCACAATGACAAAAATAACTATTGATCAGGGTTTTGCCGGTATTAAATAAACAGTAGACCATCATGGCTGTAGTCTATTCATATGGCTGTAGCCTATAATATAATTCTATAATGTACTAGAATAGACTTTTTTTGCCCCTGTGTCGAACGTCAACAAAAAAATTAACCGACAAAATCAACACGCTTGTTTACATGACAATTGTCCTTCCTGTCGTCTATGCCCACCTTTTCAAGTACGATGCCTTTAGCGTGTGATGCCCCTCCGAAAGGATTAGCCTTCCAGCGGGTTCCCAGATGAGCCTTCTTATAATCTTTGTCGTGCCATCGCTGGTCGCGACGGTGATTCTTGTGCTTGTGCGCAGTTCGAATTCCACGTGGCTTTCCTATAGAGACATGTTTTTTTGTGAAGAAAAATAGACAACAATCAATATACATTAGTAAGAGAAACACTGTTCGTATATATGCGCATCACGGTAGGAACGTTGAAATAAGAGTCGGCGATATTAACCCCAAAAACCCGCGCTATACCGACTTCCTAGAAAAAAAACATATATTTTTGTATATTATTTGCTAGCCCGGTAAACACATTTACGGCCGGTAAAACTACTATTGTCGAACCAGGTCACAACGCATTCACAACACGATGTTACACGCCATCAGTGAATAGGCTTTAACCAAACAACGAACATCCACTGATATACAGTGGTGGTAAAACGAAAATACTAAGCTCAATACTATATGATGGCAAAATGTTTCGGCACAAACACGTGCCGGTCACTCGATTTGAATATCTCGCAATATCCTCGTTAACAACACTTTTCTCAATCAACAGACGTATCCAAGGTGGCCACAGCGATTTCGGCCAACTATGCACAGCATTAAGCGCAGAAATAAAATGAACTTTGTTGAAATATTTACTAGAAACTGCAGCACAACCACTAACCCATATTGCGTGGCCGCGAGAAAAGAATTATGCAAGATGGCGCCGCGCCATGTTGCTGTCTAGGGTATCAAGAGTGTACCAGCGGCGGTGCCAGAAGGGAGCTTGAGATCCTTTACTTCTTCCAATATAGATCAGATTGTAGCTATTTTCTTTAATTCACTTAACCTAAATAACATAATATTTATTATAATAATTAAAACTAATTGGAGTTCAAATATGCGACGAAAATACCAGGCGAGGAACAGCTTGTGGTACGCCCGGGAAGGCGTTTATCTTCTAACATGTTTTACTGATTTTTTGTGTAGTTTTATGAGTGAAATTTGGTGTTCATCGCGTGGCAAATACTCAAGAATCGTGTCAACCCTCAATTCGATGCGTACTCTATTGTCTCTCACATTAGATGTTAATCAATGGCGACTGTTTTATTATAGACGCTAACAGCGTTTCCGTGTAAATAATGTATGACTCATCCGCTGTCTCTTCCATGAAATATCATTCTTTTCATCGCAAAACCGCCTTGTATTCTCGTTCAAGGTGCATTGTTCATTTCCAGCGCTACTAACTCAATCGATTCCGCTGATTGCTACACAACTGGCCAGCGTCTGTCTTCGATAGTTACGGTACGCCAGCTCCGTTTACGTTATAATACGTTCCTGCTCCATATTCACGAAGAAAATCTACTTTTGCTTCCGTTTGTTCATTCAAATTTTCGCGGGCCCAGCGTTCTGTTGCTAGTTTCCGGCACTGCTGGTAGGCGGAGCTTAGCTCTCTGGTGATTGTACCAGTCGCTGGGGCCGAGTAGCTGATGATGCCCAAGATCGCTCTTCGCTGACAGCGTGCGCCCTCTAGCGGTGAAGCGCGCGGCGGCGCGAGCGACGCGCATACGGTCTACTAGAAGGACGCAGGCGCGGCTCTGCGGTTGCTGAGCTCCATTGAACACCGGCTATGGTAATGTCTGTTAACGCAGGTGGAACTTAATAGCAGCTGCTATAAATGGTAAATGGTGTTTTCTTTTCCTCGGATATTCGTCATTGTTGTTGCTGCCCTGTGCTGCTGTCCATAACAGTGTTGTTTGCTGCTCATACACTCAGCTAGCCAAGTAGTGGAAGAGTGTTGTCTTCACATCGCCTGCTCTTCGCATCAGCCGCCTTTGTCTCGTTGTGCTGTTCCTCCAACTCACCTCTATCAGCTCTTATTGTCGCTACAGCATGTCGTTAAAGCAGAGAATAATATTTTATAGGTGGGGGCATCATAGTCTGTGACAGCCGCGGCGGCGCTCAAGCGAGACCTGTAGCCGGTGGCGGCCGGCTAGTTCGTCGCGCCGAATCCATGAGCCCGTATTTCCTCACAGTGAACAGTATCGCCATCTCTGCAACGCCCTATTGTGAAGGTGACAGCGCTCCGAGCGAACGCTGGAGGTGGCGAAGATCGTGATCGTATTTGCGGTTGCGCCATTCACTAGCCGTTCGAGCGGTAACGTCAGTAGTAAAAGATAGTAGTTCGTCTGAACGCTGCTTGCCACTGCTGTGAACTATAGCAACATCATCCTGGCAGTTTGAGCCAGTACTGAGGCGTTGAAATCGTGAAAACGTACGGCTATAATAATAGCAGCAGTAAAAACAACACAGCAACAGCAGTGGAGCAGCAGAAACAGGGCCATCAATGATGGCAGTGCCCAGGTAACGCGCCAGTCTTGTTATGGCTGGTGGCGAATTGACAGTGCAAAGTTAGTTCTGAGCGGGAAGATGGTCGTTATTGTCTATACCCGGAGTACTGATGACAGCAGCTCTCATAAGCAGCGGTTGAACTTGTAGCGAGAATACGCAAAACCCCTCTGACAAGAGAGACTGCCATAGCTACTGTTTCTACGGTTGGTGCAGAAGTTGCTGAACAGCCCGAACAGGAGATTTTCAATGATGACACAGGACGCTTTCCAATGTATCCTATGACTGTCGTAACTTCAGCAAGCATACAATGTGGGTTAGATCAGGCTTTTGAACGACCATGTCATGCAAAGTCGTAATTGGAATTACCGTGCGCCGTGTGTTGATGTGAAAGTGAAAATCGATGCGGCAACCTCCAAGGATGATGTTGTTGTTATTGTTGTTGTAGTCAACGTAGACGACAGTCGCGTAGGGTGATGTCAGTACCTAAGCGATATACTGGATACATACACGATACTTTAGAACTGAAATCGCCGAAATCATTAGGAAATTTTATTTCAAGCGTAACTGGATTCTGTGACGGCAATCAGGAACGTAACAGCAAGCGTTTACTACTACAACGAGAGAAAGAATACAGCAACTCTAAAAGGCGTACCAATGCTCCGGCAACGTAAACTTGTACAGAAATTTCTTTAGACGTATACGAGTCATTTACGTAATACGCTCGTAGAAACGGTCTCGACTTGAAGTGCGCTAGAAGCACGCGGTACCCAGCTAATCACTTTGGAGCAGCGGTAAGATGGGTGTGTTACAATTAAATTTTTTTGTAAGATCCGTCTCCCCGCGTAGCTGATTCACGCAGGAGCGCATGCGGACGCGCGGTTGTCGCCGAGAGAAGGAAAAGTGTTGATTGGCGACCGTGTTCTAGTCGCAGCTGTTCGTGAAACAGACGGCAGCGTTGCTGTCGCCAAATTAAATGACCCAGCCAAGCGAATAGAAGTGACCAGTTCAGCATCTCCACGCTGCACTTCTGGAATTGATCGTTCTTTTTCTGTAAATGAAAAAAGCGAAGAAGCAGTCGACACCGAAAACGAATTGGGTGAAAAAAAAACGAGAAGTAAAGCGTCCGCGACGGTATCTTGCCTGCTCCCACCCGCGGAGATCCCGGTAAGGTTTGAGATCGGTTCGTAATCCTTTCTTCAGCAGTTAACAACGCCGGCCCTCGTCACGATGGGTCACGGTGCAAGTCACGGCCAACAGGCCGGTGGCGGTGATCGCTGGAAGAACGATGTTAAGCAGCCAATGCCGGACGCATCAACGGTGGAACATCGCTTCAATCAGGTTCTGGTCAGTATTACTCGCACAGAATAGTATTATATAATAAACAACTGCCGAAATTGAGAATACGCCAGGGTGGAGGAAAAGTCCTGACAGTTCAAGAATCCTTAGTTAATTAATTCTTTTTACTACCTCCTAATTTTACTACCTAAAAGGAGGATATTGAAACTGTTAGTTGACCTTTGTTCCACTTCGCTTATGGGAGAAAGTGGCATTGTATGGGGTAGAGGCTCTATGGACCATTTGGTTTGTTTTTCCTAGTAAAGAAATGGTAATTCGAAATTTTAATCCCATTGAACATTGAACACTTTGCAGAAATACAGATAATAAGTTCAATGTAATATGCAATACTAAATGTTCCTATTCTAAAAGAAAAAGTCATTTGTAAATATTGTCCGCATTTTACCGAACGATAGGAAAGTCAAACAACCACCTGACGTCTCTACCGCAGTTTTGCCTCTTCCAAAGCTACATTTTCAAAGGCAAGCTGAAAGCATGTCAGCTATATGAGCTTGAATGAAGCGAAGCTCTATATATAAGCCAGCGCAATTCGATCCTATATAAAACCGTATGCAATGATGATAAACTACTTTAGAGTACAGTGTAATTTAGTATGCGTATATGCGTATATGTGGGTGTATGGGAAACCGGACGAACGTATCGTTGTTTCGTATTTCTCACACCAGATGTCGTCGTCGTCGTCGTCGTCAACGGCATGGCATACGCGACTGCGTTTGAACGAAACTTATGAGCGACCCTATTGATATAATACATTATTCGAACCAAATAACAATATGCGTCTTATTGGAAACGGTCATGATCGTCGATTAGAACGTACTGTGTTTAATTCATTATAATAGAATCATACGGAATCACGTTACATGGGCTAGAGTTTAATGAAGTTATTACTACGCCCACCGCTGTTTGAACCAATTCAGCCGTTGGATGTGTCAGTACCTGGACCACTCAGAGGGTGCTGCACGACAGAATTCCAAGTGAACCCACGTTCAATGACGTTTATTAAAAAGCACCGGCCTATTTAATCGTGGTCACCATTTTTTCTAGAAAGAAAAGCATTTTTCCTTTAGGTCCGTCGAATTCTTCACACAAGCTCATTAGTAATCCACATAACAGTAGCTCGTGGAACTATATGGGTCAACGGAATAGATGCTTCTAATCGATATCTTCTTGGCAATGGGTGAGTTGCAATGAACTCATTTCGGTTACGTAGTAGAAAACTCGCTGACGGATGCACCCTGTCAAATTCTTTTCTTTTCCGTGCCACCAGCGGTTTTCAACGATAGTACCAAGCAAATTTTGGCCATATAGCCTCAACTACATTTATATGCGGCTAAAAAGGTGGAATTATATGTGCCACTAATGATTTTCTGCAAACAAACTACTCATTCCATAAAAATAAAGATAAAATATTTTTCTTCCCAGAAAGAGCTGTGGTTCCCGCCAGAGAAGCCGATGTTTCATAACAATTTGCTGCAGAGTTAGAGAAGTTAAGGAAATGATGATTTATCTAGCATAGGATCCCGTGAGGTTTTGCTACGCACGTACTGGTACATTTACAAAGAACTGAGGGGACTCAGTAACTGTACGCGCATGTCAATTTACGTATAGTTAATTACCGATGGTAAATTCCGATCGATGATTCTGATTATTCGACATATGGTGCATATTGTGATCGCGTCGTTTTGTCCAAACGATGCAAAATTTTCCTAAAAAGCAATCGCATGTGACGCGCCGTTAACAACGACTATACGCGACGCAGCATACGCACATACATACGTATTTTTTTCTAAACCAAGTTGTACTTCAAAGATCTTTCAGTTTCTCTGTAATCTGCATCGGATTTTATATATGCTCGAAATGCGGTGGCCCATCTAGCTCCACTTGACCCTGTCTCATGTAACCACCGGGGTGATCATGTAATATAATCCAATGTATTAACTTTTAAACGTAACCTGCTTTCAGTTTGCCTTTGAAAATGCAGCTCTGGGGCAGCCAGAACTGTGGCAGAATAACGAGCTGCTTATTTTATCTCTGTCGTTCAACGAAAGTTTAATTGAATGCGAAAAAATAGATATCTCCTCTTAGATAAATTAAATCTTAAATAGAAAATAGATATAGGCCTCTCTTTCTATCCATCTCTTTATATACATATGAAAACAAGTACACGATCGATCAGCTGTGCTTTTGACCGGGTGTCCAATGGCTAACTCACAACCAACTGACACAGATGGCTAATTTACTACTAGTCAATGGAGTTATCGGAAATCGGTGAATTTATTGTGTATATTTATCTAGTTGCGAAGAAAAGCAATAGCTGGTCATTGTTGCACCTTGTATACCTCTGCGTTTGGTTTACGGTGACGAAAAGATCTTTTCATTTTGTAGATCTTTTTGCTGTCACCAGTCGATGTTGCTCATCTCACTATTTTTGTTGTTGTATAACAAAGTTCGTATTAGGATCACTGTCGACCTGCTACTAGCCCTGTTATTCGACCTAATTAGTTAGAATCACAACAATAAGCAATAATGTTGACCGTGAACACAGATGAACAATTTATGATATCAAGAGGAACCTGTCTCCTCTATTAAATAAGCGTTCTATGAATAGGCGCGCCATGCTGTTTGTACAAGTTGGCAAGCGAGTAATATATCAGGCGGGCAAAACAGCGATGCCCGGATGTGTCTATGCCGACACGGGCTGTGATAAAGTCATGCTATCATAGAGATTGTTGGTTCGTTTGATGAAAAAGCGAAACTTTCAAAGCGCCATTGAATTGTCCTCTAGTTAAAATTGGCGCCAAATCACACAGAAATGAGCTTCAGGAGAAAGGCAAGACAGCTGCGAATCTAATTCCGACAGAGAAACAGTTGAAAGGTTTTCGAATATCCTACGATTGTATTCATTTTGTCAAGAAAATAAGGCGTTAACATTGTGTGCGTTGGGGTCTGATTACTACTTACTTGTTTACCACTTTTTGCAACGATGCCTCGTTGATGGAAGATTGTACGTACCTCTACTCCGTAGAGTTAGCTCAGCTGTACCTGCCTATCCACATCCCTTTATGATCGTCATCGTTTACCTGAAACATGTTGGTGAAATGGTTGAAAGAAGAACTTATTTTTAGCGCACATTAATTGAATTAGAAAAAAAAAAAAAGATCACTGATTGGCCGTCTTTATCAAAAGTCTTTTCAACCAATACTTCACAAGGCTGACTTCTTCCAGCGCCCTTGGTGGTACGTCTACGCCCAATTTCGAACCCATACCACTAAAACAGTAAACGTAACACTCAAAACGTCTATTCTATAGTTGCCGCACAATTCTAACCTGCTCGGCGGTAGATGGACAAATTGTCACAGATTTTCTAAGAAGCCACCGTTAGAACAGCGCCGCTTATTATCGCTAAGGTTCCAAGGCGCCCACGTTCGTGTACTGCTTCTGTTAGTCAATTTTCAAAACCCATATGATTATTTTAACGGCGAGGCTCTAACATATCAACTTCAAGAAATCCATTTCTGGTTACCCATGATAAGGCTTACTTTCTAGTGGTAGACTGAATCATGCAAATTTAATATGCCTAATTGTGGTACTTGAGATTGTGCCTAAGACACTCTTGCTTGTTGGTGGAAAAAGGAAGACATCGTTCCTTCGTGATACGTATGCAGTCTGTGGACAGAGTGCGCACTCGGGCCACTATCCGTTGCCTGCTCTCTTGTACCTTTGACAAGGCTGAGCAACTATTCTCTTTTACATTAGGTCTCTTTTATTAGATAGGTCCAAACGCGTTGTTAAAGTGGCTCTGTAGAATCGACAGGTTTGTGAAAGACAGTATTTCGGTGTCTGCGCGCAGCTCTTAGGTGATCTATGAGGGCGTCAAGGCAAGAAGGGAAAGCCTTTAACCGACGCCTTCTTAAAGGTCTAACTAACAATCAAGTGGAATGAAAATATTTGTCTCCGTTCCAAGAGTGAACTATATTTTCGCAGCACAAAAGTTTATTTACCGAATTTGATATAATACGTAACTAAACGTTTCAAATCTATAGCACCTTCCCTATGGATTACCAAAGTGAACGTCCGCCTGTGTCTGGAAGTACCATTCGTGGGGGGTCACGTTTATTTAATATAAACATTATCCAGTAGGAATCCAAATTCGATTCGGGACCCGAACTGCTAGCTAGCCGTTCTCAAAATATTCCTTCTTTTATCAGCAAATAATTTTCTAATCGTAACCATGCTTCAAATGATATCTAGGCTGATAACAGGCGAAAAATCCCAAATTCTGAATTTGTTAATTCCTAAAGCAAAATCTGGGTATATCAAAATGGTTTTTGAGCAGCTTGGATGCATTTTGAGCACTTCAAATATGAACTCAACCTTTCCTATCTGCCTCCTAAGTCTTTCCGCGTGAAAATTAGAAATAACGTAAAGCATCGATTTCGAAAGAAAGTAATTTTTGTAATTTTAGGGGTTCGTTTAACGTGGAAAGGCAAGACAGTTGATCTTCGCCCAAATATTGAACACGACACATTGTTATTAGCCATGACGAGCTCATTGGTTTGGAAGAAACAGCGTATGACCACATGCCCATTACGGCCAGCAACACGGCAAAGTTCCTCTTAAATTAGGTACCCTGTTGGGTAGACAGACATACATTTAATACGCGCACTCATCTTAATTGTGAGTGTATCTATTTAGTTGAAAATAAATATATTATATTAGCGTTACTGAATCAACAAATACCGAACGGCCAACTGACGTCCTATTCTTTTGATTTCTCAACGGCTTCGCTTGCGTTTCAAGAGCAATTCTGCCGGCGTCACTGTCGCAAGCGCAGGCAGGCGCGCGCTTTAAATGAAATGATTCTCACGTTGCGCCGAGCATCGTCGCATTACCATTGCATCGACGGTCGCCTGACGCTGAGTAGTTTGATGTAGCGACAGTTCGTTGATTTTGTTGCGGTGACAGCAGCGGTAATAGTCGTATATACTTCGCGGTACGAGTTGTTCCGTCGGCGTCCGCCGTCATTTCTTTCCATCTATGCGCAGGTCGCCTATCTGTTTATATCTCTCTGTGTCTACGTTTTTGTGTGTTTGTCTCAATCAGCTTGTTCGTCCAATGGTTGCAAGGGCGGTAAGCAACTTCGGGACTATCTGCGGGAGAAAGCACGCGGGAGAACGACGTCGGGCGAGCTAACGTAACAAGCCAACAAGTCAACCACGAGACGACAAACGCAAACGATTTCAACAATCGACAGCGGCAGCTGAAATACAATAGAACCAGACTACAAACGAAAGAAACAGATTACTGTTGCATGCGGCACACGTTCGCGTCCAGACGCGTACAAACATAGAAATACACAATCCTTTTAAACGAATCGGGAGGAGTTAGCGGTCTTTGGCTCTGATGACAGCTCATATAGCTTTGTCGTTCTTGCAACGGTAACTCGAGCTCAGCCTGACGCTGTTTATCACTCCGATCATCATGATCATGGTGACGGTAACAGCAATAAATTTTCTGATGCTGCTAATGCCGCAGTTTGTGTGTGGCATAGCAGTGAAGCGATTCGGCCGTGTGTACCGCGACCTGCCACTGCTTGGCGCTGTATAGCTAGTAGGTAAAGTAACGAAAGGAGACGGGGTATTATCGCGGAAGAAGCACAGGTCGCAAGCCATTTTGTTCGCAGAAGCAGTCGGCAGCAGCAACAGTATGTCGGAGAAAATCAAAAGCGATTAGAGCGGCACGTAGATCTGTGACAATGTTTTAGGCAGCGACTAGACGGCTAACTATCGTTGACTGCGGTGTCACGCAGTAGGCGCACTGCTCTAACTATAAGCCCTGTTCTGCCGCAGGCCCCGACAAGTTGTAGCGCTAACAACAGCAACGAACTGCAGCGCCAGCGAAAGTGATACAATAAAAAGCGAGTCTGTGCAACCAAACGGTCACGAGTACAAAACGCACAGCCAATAAGGATTAGCGGCTAGAAGCATCAGGGGGAAAACTTCTGTCACCATCAGAATCCCCATTACGACAGGCAAAAATCACCGGAAAAAGTTGCTACAATGAACCTGGAGTCACTATGCCCGGTAATTTCGCCATCGTCGCCCCCATCGCCCTCAGACAAACAAACAAAACGCAATTGTAGCTGATAGTTGGGGAAAGGTGGACTGTCAAAGTCTTAGCTAGTTCATTGGTTCTGTAGCAAATGCCGTCATTGAACGCTAGCTAGCTAACTAACTAGAAAAAAAAAACGAAGAACTCATGGTGGTAAGTGAGGCATTTACCAATGGCGTCGGCACAGCGAGCGATCGCTGTGACATTGGTTACGTGGCAATATTGTTTTCGAAATTGGTCACGCGTTAGGTGATAACTGAATCGTTGTGGAGTTCATTAACAATCGCGGACGGCTCCTTAGCCGCGCGTAATGGATCATAGAGAGGATATGAAGAGTTTGTTTTTGTGGCTGAACTGCGGACGAGGTTGTGGCATGTCGTACGTGTATGTGTATGGGAGTGCTTGTGTTTGTACGCGTGGGTGTAGAAGAGGGTGGATACAGAAAGCAGTAATTAAGCGCCTTCGTAATATATCGCAGGAACATTATGATTTTTTTCAACAAAGTGAACGGGCAAAGCTTTATGCGGATCAGGACATTCAGCTAATAGAGCTTAGTGGGCTTCGTTTTTTTAGGGCAGCGATTACGTACGAACAGCTACATTTACGTACGCTGGTTAGTCTTTCATAGGTGTACAAGGACCAACTACTAGGCAGCTAGGTGCTAGAGCACATCGCAAACTCGGACGTTTAGGATGGTAATAAATTGCTGATTCGTGAAATATTCATAGCGGTTGAAGATATTGTGATAAATGCGCGGTAATTTTATTCTGTTAATAAGCATAGCATTGAAAGGACTAGTAAAGAAGAGTAGCCAAAAATGGAGAGCGGTCCTTATAATATACGATTCTACCGGTTACTTTGTATCTAGGAAAGAGAAAAGCGACGACTAAGAGATTTTCAACGACTTGCAGAAATAGAACTGAATTAACCGTAAAAGTCGTGGGGAAATTTGCCTTCAAGTTACATCACTCCGCTGCGTCAAGCGGTGGCAAAAAAAGAATTAGGAGAAGAGGGGAAGAACAATCACTGAACGGATGACTGACAGAAATACATATAGAGCTGTATTTGTTAGTGCACGTCTATCTCACGGTCTTCTAACGACAATCTCCAAGCAATAGCAGAACCTAAGTATTCCGCAACAAATGCAAAATCGAATGAGAAATGCTGTCTATACTTCGTTCGCCGTAGCAAAACCTCGCCAAACTCCTCGCCAGCCTTCATTTCTCCATACCTCATTATCGAACGCCACCTGCTACTACCCACAACTCTTAGTTTTTATTAGACATTTTTCTCCTCTGGTATATACCCAGTTCGTTGAACATTGGCAACACTTAATCAACAGTCAACGGTATGCCCAATTTAGACAGGGCTAACCCCACTGCTGTACTTTGGACCAGGAATTCATCAAATATTTATGCTGCCCCCTTAGTCTTTCGTTTATTCATGTTTGTTAGTACACTGTAAACTGTCACGCAGCAATAGTTGCTACTTAATGATTAGCTGGCGTATAGATTAATCAAACTATCGCAGTCTTTTGATGCCAGTGTGATCCTACGCGGGTGAAGTAAACTGCCGCAGAAGGAAGCTCGAGAAGCAATAGGCAAAAAAACGAATGAGGAGGAATAAAGGGGGTAATTTCGTTTCTTTTGTCGTTTTTATTATCTCCAAAGAACGCCGGCGAGCAAAACGCGCACTAGTCTGAGGCGTACGCGCCATAGGTGCATAGACACGAGTACCGCTGCTACCACGGCCTCTATTAGCCGCGTAACTATGTCGATGCTTTCATAACAGCCACTTCTGAGCGAATAATATAAGTATTTAAGATATTTTTGGTTCAGTACTTTGTTGCACCCAACAAGATGAAGGTAAATGGAATGACGGTGAGAAGGCGCTGAGTCACGGTAGCAGTACGTTTATAGCTGTCATGATTTTTGTTTGGCCTGCGCAACCGGCGACATATACACCGTGGCGACGCTTGTGGCAGCGGGAAACCAAGTTTATAGATGGATCGATGACACCTACCGCCAAGGGGGCTTTTCAACACCTTGCACACGACGAACAATGCTATATAAATATTAGACGATAGAGAGCGGTTTATACATATGCCGGTAATGTTCTGTTATAGTAGGTAAGAGTGATGCGCTCCACTGAGTACTTTGTGATAATGATTCAATAAAAATTGTAGAATTTGTCGTTAGTAGGATTCAACTATTGTGTGAGTGGGAGATTTGAGAACAACTTGAGATGCTTTAACGCGCCCCAGCACAATTTGGGGTGGTATATCGAAAGGGGTTAACCTAAGCACGAAGCTGCGAAGATGAACATTTGTTTAGCTAAGCGAAACATTCGTCAAAAAATTGAATAAAATTTGAAGGTACTCTTGAAACCTTCGCAAGCTCGAAAGTTTAATATGCAACTTGATAAGCTTATGCCAATCCTATTCTGTTGTTCACCTTATTTGGCTTAATTCCTGGCTGAAGTAAAAATAAAGTTTGGAGTCTGATATAGCAATATTTCGCTCACGTTCGCCTGGGTTTTTTCAGCCCTGTCGAGTGGAGAGGGTGGCATTTAATATTTACTATCCGCTGGAGTATTTGGAGTCTGCAGTCAGGTATAGTAAAGCCCTTGGCTTCAAAATATGCCTCGTGACTACTCTAGAAACCAAGCAGAATCGTTCAAAAATTACTGGCGTTACCTAATTCCTTACAGTTAAAACACTAACCGCAGCTTCAATCTGTAGCTATCAAAAAAAATCCTTATATGTACTGTTCTATCAGTATATCACCAGTATTTGTAGCTTTTGTTAAATGGTCGAAATGATGTTTTGGTCTGAAGGTTAATCATTGGGACGGTCTCGCTCTGCGCATATGTCGACCCGTGTCCAAGGCAAAAACACTGCTTAACGCTGGTACAAGACCAACCATAATGTACAACACATGTAATAGGTAGAGGATTTTGATAGTTGTATACTAATATATAGATCTCAACTGAATTGAAGATGTTGTCTAGACTGATGTCTTCTAGTAAGACGAAATATAAAACGTATGCAGAAAATTGTATGTGTTTTTATTGTCTTTAAATAGATAGCCCGGCAAAATGGTTTGTGTTTAACTGTGTCAATCCATGGGTATTTATAACTACTTTGAGATCAAAGTGCAGCCCAGAAAAGCACTTTAATGTACACAGCACATCCAGTAACAAAAAAAGTCTCTTGTTTGTTATTGGCAGAACGCAAATTCCCATAATAAACACGTTGAGTGTGCTGTGGAGGAATCGATCTTACTTTAATCATATAATAATTTTCGAAAGCTGACTACTAACAGATACTACTAATCTAGCTTAACTGCAACTCTGAAGGAATAAGCTTCGGACGACGGAGCAGCGACACCCGTTTTCAGACCTCCCCGACCACCATCAGGTTCTCATGTCAGTTGGATGAAATATTAGCGAATCAAAACCTGGCTTTTTTTTTTTTTGTTCTTGAGCTAGAAATACACAGCTCTATAACCTTGGGCGAGTCGTCAGGACTGATGATGTTGTTGTTGGCCCGATAGAATTCGGCTGCTGGATCTGTCTAAAAGAACGTTCATTACTTGCGGACATGTTACTACAGCTATGTTACAGCTACTGTAGTTATACGCATTGTAGCATTGGACCCTTTTTTTACTACGCGCACGCGTCCGCTCTCGACATAAATCCGGCCATTGCTAACAGAATCCATTAACTCCGGTACATAAACGGATGTGTCCATAGTACCGCTATTGATATTTCGGTGTTCTGCAGTCTTAGATCGATCCAACGTACTGCCCGTAGCTTGCAGGTGTACTGGCGTGCTTTCCATGTAGCTAACTGGGCGACTAGGTCAATTCGGGTAGTTGGCTAAGCAATCCACAAATCTACTTTTTAGGTTCTATATACGTTCGGAAAACGTATATATAGTGATGATGGTAGTTAAATATAGCGAGCGCGGCGGGGAACAGGCGGAAGATCGAACGAAGTAAAACGAAAATGTGCCAGAAAAAGTATACAAAAATGGCAAGCAACAGATAAACAAACCGAAGCTAGTAGAACTGCTCGGCTCAAAGGAACACAACGAACTGTTACCGAACAGGCATATCTATTGCACTATGTGTATGATGGATACTGATTACTGTCGGATTGAGTTCTATGGACGCCGCCAAAGTTGCCAGGACTAATCGCAGGGCACTGATACGAGTCGTGAACAGGTTAACGAAGGGTTATGGGTAACGGGGAATGTGAGGGGTAAGTTCAGGCATAAAACAAGGCTATTTCTTTGGTAGCTTCGAATCCAGAACTACCATGATTAGCGGACAAATTTTCGTTTAATTCACGCGATTTTACCTGTTGTCTATGGTTAGGACGATTCGCGCGTGGGTAAGGTCCCCGACGTGACGATGCAGTGGTAACGTGTGTGCTTACCAAACTAGTTAAAGCAGCTGGTGTTCTGGCGAAGTCTAGGTTCCAGACCTAGCGTACCCAGACGGTTCGTCTGTGTACGCTAGATCTGGAACTGAAAAGAGCTAGCCGTCTGGAACAATGAGTCACTCGGTAACTTAGAACTAGAAACATTGATTTTGCGAGCGATAACTTTTCAATCACTCAGTTGCCCCTCAAACACGACAAGCCATCGGTTTTAGACGGGAGCTGTTACTATCGATCACTGAAAGTTGTTACCTTTTTTTTGCACCGGCCGGCGATCTATCTTTTTTTGGCCATGCCCGGAACAATCGAAACCTGTGATGAATTTCTCCGGAAACTCCGTCCCGTTAACGTTTCCGAAATCGATTTGCGCGTTGATGGTGGCAGTGCTGTTTCCAATCGCGAGTGTTCCTAATCCAGCAAGGGCAGCGTGAGGAAACGACGCTAACCCCTAAGTTTTTTCAACACTCGCCGAATCTCTATAAACGCAGCGCTTCTTTCTCAGAAATGATCGAGTCGATCACTGTCTTCTACCTATATCAATAATTGTCGTCACGATAATAGTTATTGACGTTGTTAACATAGGGAATTTACTTAAACAAGCAATTAATGGCCGGTTAGGTTGGGTCAACGTTTGTGCTGACCCGGTAAATTTGCAATTCTTTGAGGGTGATTGAGAACCTACGTTAGAGGTTAGAACGGAAGAGGGATGCTAAAAACAAATTTAATTTTTAACGCAGAAAAAAGATAAATAAATTTGGACGATAGTTTCCGAAAACGAACACAGCTATATACATCAGGCCGACTAACTACGGACGTTTACTGCTAAATCATAAAATATATGGAGTCCAGACGTTGCATATTAGACATAGACTTAAAAGTACGCACGCTATAAACTCCCATGGGTGACTAAGTTCTGAACAAGGAACTATTTTCATTACTGTTAGGCCATACACGATTGACTGTTAATTTTTTCAACCAAGCGGTATGATCGGTTAAGGCTAGCCGTAGACATTTATGTTCCGTCCCGATCGAAGGAGCAAGTTGGACGTTCGGATAAAAAAAGCGTTTGCTTAACAGCTATGACCAAAAGCACAACCGTACACGAGGCAGACGCATTCGACATGACTCACTATAAAAGCAAAATACATTAGAGTTTATTGTTACTGTGTATCGGTAGCACATACCCCTTTATAACGATAACTAACATTACAGCTTATAGTTCATATTATTAATACTATTTGTAGTATGATTCAGGGGTGACGACGTCTCGTAACTGTTCTAATTACCGGCTACATAGAGCGGTAAGGAAGATGGACAAATCGTATCTGTGCCTTTACAAGCACTGTTAGTAGGCCCTGCATGTTCACATATTTTTTTAAATAGGAGAGGAATATATATATATATATATATATATATATATATATATATATAAATAGCTATTTTACTGTTTAACCGAAATGCTGTGCATAGCGTCCTATTATCGTTTACGATGTCATTATATCTTCTGCTATTCTACGGACGTACAGCTATTTCACATCAGTAAATATTTCTAGAAGCCTTTGCGAAGTGTCAACTCGTTCTTTGCGCCGTTACCACCACTACCTACATTGTTCGTTGAAGCTTTTCGCCGAATTTGAATTCTCGACAAGACGGAAGAACAATTTTTCATTGAAGAAAATTGGTTCAACTGTCGTCGACAAAGTACTTTTTCGAGGTCGTTGTTTGTCAGGTGTAAGAACAGACAACAAAAAAATCTTTTCTAATATAACTGGCGACCCTGAACTTACCCGAGCCGGTTGATCTAAGTATGGAACTATTCAGTACGACGATAGACATCAGCATTTGTGCCATCCGTGATTGCCGGATTTGCCAGTTGACTAGGCAAAAATTTGCACCTCGTTACCAGCGACTCCAGTTGCGACTCATCGAAAACTTGAGATGGCGCGATTTGAGTGGGTATTTTGTTTAGGCTGTTCGGCTTGCTTGTCGGACACGGCTACGTTTACGGCGTTATACGTATTTGTTATCGTAAATAGAATAAAATAGTGGACTACATAAGAAGATTCTATCTTGACACTCTGTGTATATAAAAGCAATCAGGGATTAAGCACGTATTATGGTATAAGGTTCAAAACCTTACTTTTATATTGTTTATTCAAAAAAAGCTGTTGAAGCTGATTTTAGTTTCGATCGGATCATG